CATGTTATAATTTCACGCTGAATTTCCACTGATGTTATTCCCACAATCTCCAGCATCTTCTCAGTCAACTCCTAAATTTCCAACAAAATACATGGAACAATTCAATTATACCTCAAACTTATGTGGATCTCTTAACAGGCCACATCTGACAAGCCTAAGAGAACCCATTAATCTCCTTGCCTATCCCTGTGGTATGAAGCAATTAGCTGTTCTGCTCCTTGATCTAGATTGGATATGCTTGTTGCAGGTGTAATTAATTCAAGTATTTGGAAACATTTAGCTTGAATGCAATTGGAATCAATTGGAATATCTTAAAATGAAGGCCAACGACAAAATACTCTTAGCATCTAAAGATCCAAATTAAAATTATATTAATTTTGCAAGTACACCAGACTCAAGAGTGAATTATTTTTAGATCCCAGTATAGTCAGAGGTACAAGGGACACCTGATGAACAAACAGAAAACAGAGGGGGGGATTTGAGGGATGGGGCTGACTAGTGAGGGTGTTACCTTTAATTCAGGCATTCCTTCTTAACAGAGCGGCAACACTCTTAGAGGCTTTATGTTGAGAAAACCAAGATAAACTCTAGCAGAGTGGGCCACTGTACTCAAAAACCTCATGACTTTTTTGTTTACTGGTGAAGTAAGGAGATCAGTTCTGTATAATTAACAGTTTTGTACTCTCACCTTACTCTGGATGACACAGTCAAGCCATCTGAACTGGTTTAGTACCAAACGAGGGATGTTGAAATCATCTGTGCCATTGCTGTATGAAAACCAACATATGATTAAGGGAGTTTTTGAAAAATAGGTGCAGTGATTTTAACCCTTTAACTCCCAAGATCTAATTGTTAATTCTCCCTTCTAGCTGCTACTCATTTTCTTGTAAATTTGTTATGAGAACTTGTTGCTAAATCAAGATAGCAGCTTCTACCTGATAAGTTTGAATATTCTCATTACCTGTTTACTGAATAATGTAGGGATATCACAGGGGGAAGTTTTATGTTAATCACTTCTGGGAGTTGAAGGGTTAACTCCTGAAACTTTTAACTCTTAAACACCTGAGGGTAACTATAATCTAATTTCTCACTGAGGTATCACCACTGAATCAAACATAAGGCTCACTGATGGGAATTAAAGAAATGATCCCAAACTTGAAAGGCTCTTGATCTTTAGTACAAATCTCCTTTTTAGTGTCATAGGAGATGTATGAAGAATAGTTTAAGAGAAAATTCATGCTCATATTAGGGTGTAAAGGGTTAATCATTCGGAATAAAACAACATTTGAGACACAAAAGTTGTGTGTAGCACAGAAAAAATGGTGTTTCATACTTGCAATCATCTTCTGTAAACTCTGGAAGCTTTTCCAGAAGCATACTGGCAATCTTTGGCTATGCACAGAAAGAGATGAAAATAACACAGTTGAATGATTGTTAATCAATAATGCTTTCTCTAAATTTGGCTTACATGTTTATGGATAAATTCAAAGCTATCAGAGAATAAAAATTGTAATAATTCATACCATTATTTGAATAAGTTCTACCTGCACTGAGGATTACCTGAAGTACGTCGATACCCAAGAGCATTCTAATCAAACTCTCCTGGCCCCCAACATGCCTGAAAAAAGAGAAAATTTGTTTTTTTGGACTTTTTTTCAGCATTCTAGTAGAGGTATTTAAATGATTTTGAGTGTAATTTGGTGTTAATAAGCTCAAGTAAATTTTTCAAAGACAACAAAATTGCGCAAGCCCATAGGAAGAGAGCAATTTGTAGTCTTTGAAAAATTTAGAAGTTAGAGCTTTTTAACACCAAACTACGCGAGGTATCATGTTGTTACTTGTTAATAATTTACATGAAAAATGCATCACAAAAAGTCACTACAGATGAAATTTAAATGGCAGCAGGTGCACACTATTTGTAATTTGCACTCAGATTACAACTTTGTATTTGTGTTACAACTTTGCACTTGTGTTACATGAAAAATGCACTCCTTTTTAGCCAGTCACAAGCACATAACTTTTTCATGTATATCACTAATGTTTCATTATTTAGATAACAGCTTGTGGTATACAGTACCACTTAAAATTAAGTTGACAGTCCCTTAAAACTTGATCAGCAAAAGCTTCGAGGATTGAGGATTGAGGATTGAGTTTTGAGTCAACTTACTTTTGAGCTGTACTCCATATTGTGGCATATAAGAATTTCTTGGTTTCAATAAGCAATTTTTTAGCATATCATACCAACCCTTCAACATCCTCTGCCAAAGAAACTGGAAGCAAACTGAGGCGAAATCTGTTAACAAAAAAAAAATAACAAAAAAAAAATAAACAAACAAAGAGGGGGCAATTAAGAATTCTGTGAACAATTGAATTAATTAATATAAAATCTCATCTCCTTGAAGATCTAGTACAATTTAGGTACAGTCTTTACCTGTCAGCATCATCCAACCTATTCTGCAATCCTTTAAGGAAGTCATCTATGACCTGAAGGTGCAAGATCAAAAGAGAAAATTGAAGCAACACAATAAAGCATCATATAGAATAGGGAAGGTTATTTTCTATTTCAAAAATAAATTACCTCTGGATAATTTTCATGAGTTTTAAGTGCATTTCTGACTTTTTTCTGGAAGATAGCACGATCAACCTCTGGAAGACAATAAAAGCATAAGTCAAACTGGCGAGTAATGATGTTTTGTCACCTTTTCTTAATAGATGGGAGAATTAACAATCAGACTTGAGATTTTAAGAGTTAATACATAGATTCTTATACCTAAAACATCTTGCACCAGGCCTGAGTTCACTTGAAGACCAGCTTTTTGCACTACTGTATCAAAAAGTGTTTCCTCCACCTCAGCCTTCTTGTTTGTTCTGGGAGTGTCAGCAACATGTCTGGATCGTTTAGCTGGTGACAAAAAAATAAGAGATAGAAAAACAGGAAAGAACAAGGACTTAATTTTTGCTCAAGAAAAATTTGGTTTCTATTGTATAATTGAAGGAAAAAAAAAAAAAAAAGATGTGAGCTCTTTGAGTTAGATTATACCCTGGGAATCTCTCCACAATTGTATGGATCTTTTAACCCTTCGAACACTTTAGAATGACTAGCATCTAATTTCTCCTTACAATATCACCCCCTAATCACACATTAAGGTCATGAGAATAAAGAAAATGACCACCAACTAGAAGCTCTGGATTGTGAAACAAATTCTCCTCATCAGCATCTTAGGGAATGTATAGGGAATAGTATTGAGAATATGCATACTGATGTTAGGGTGGAAAGGGTTAAAGTCATGAGGATAAAGGAAATGGTCACAAACTTAACAAGCTCTTCTCATGAGAATTATCAAGTGTAGATACAATTTCCACAGGTATGATTACTGTTGTGGCTGATACAAACATGAAGCATGAGACTTCTAATAAATAGGAATTTCATATCTTCATGTTATTATCAACCACACATGTTCATGACAATTTATTGGAAAGTTCAATACCATAATATATTTTCTTTATCACATGTACAATCTTCATGTTAGAAAAGTAATTTTACAACACTGAAGACCCTGAAGAATTTTTTCAAGGTATAGAACATTCATGATGTAAGTTTTGCCTCAGTCAACAGAAAATAATCTTCCAGATTCCAATAAACTTTCTAGCACCTTATCAACTAGGGGAAACTTTCCATTTCACCCTCTCACTCCCAGATTTAATCTGTAATTCTCCTTACTGTCTTGCACACAATTCATCTTATGTCAGTTTGGAGAATTTGGTAATGGATCAACTAACCATCCCTTAATTGATATTTTTATTTATTCTCATTACTTGTCAGCTTGATATTGACAGGAGAAATTCTGTCTTAATCATTCATTGGAGTAAAGGGTTATTAGTGTTACTTTTAAGAAAATAAACAAATATTGTCCTTTTAAGACAAATTAAGTGCACTTACAGTTTCCACAGGTGTAATTGCTGTCATGGCTAATGCCAACATAAAGCATTAAACTTCCAATACATAGAAATTTAATGTGTTTATGTTATCATCAACCACACATGTTCAAGTGGTTTACAATTTATTAGAAAGAGCAATACCATGACATATTTTTTTAATTACACATGCAGCCTTTCTATAAGAAGACTTATTTTATCAATACTGAAGACCCTGAAGAATTGTTTCAAGGTATAGTTCATTCAAGATATCAGTTTTGCCTCAGTCACTAGATAAAAACCCTTCCTGGCTCTGATAAACTTTACAGTCCTTTATCAACTGGGGTAAAGTTTCCATTTCACTCTTCCACTTCCAGATCTAACTGGCAATTTTCCCTACTGTCTTTTATGTGATTTTGGAAATTTTGGTATCGGATCAATTAATAATCCCCTATTGACATTTTTCTTTATTCTCATCACTAGCTTGCTTGATTTTGTATTAATATTGTAAGGAGAAATTCTCTCTTGATCACTCATGGCAGTGAAAGGGTGAATGGTGTTACTTTGACTTCTGTTTACCTAAGTCAATAAACAGATATTGTTCTCATAAGACAAATTAAGAGCCTTTACAGTTTCTGCAAGTATGATTGTTGTCATGGCTGATGCAAACATGAAGCACTGGACTTCTAATAAACAGAAATTCAACGTCTTTATGTTATCATCAACCACACATGTCCACATGGTTTACAATTTATTGGAAAATGTAATACCATGACATTTTCTTTTTTGCATTCCCAGCCCTCATGATGCTCTAAATACTTTCTGTGTTCCCTTTGGGTGTTTCTTAAAATCAGTATGAGGGATGCTCCTGGAGGATCAATTCTGTCCCTCCACCATCAACCCCTAGGGTACTTCGCAGAGAACTCCCTTCTCTCTGAAATTCAAAACCCCCTTAAATCAATCCTTGAAATCCCAAGATGCAAAAGGTGCCATCTCCCTACAAGCTACACGTACGTTCGATCTGTGCTTTGAGAGGGAAAAAAGATTAAAGAAGATATTCCCGTTAAAATAAGCCGACAACACTAAAGAAGAGTATTTTGTTCGTTATATATGCGCGCAACGTCAAGAAGAGCCTGACAGCAACAAAGTGGGTGATTCCAACCGCACCCCAGCCGGAAGCGAAAAATACTAGCATTCCGCACACTGGGAATTCCGCTTGCTCCTTCGATTTCCTTTTGTGTTCGGAAGTATACATTCCTCGCCTTAATCTATAACTCAAACAATTCAAACTCAAAAAGAGACAATCGATACAATGCCCAAAATGAGCAAAACAGAGTGCAACTTGATTGTGCGCACCTGAAGGTTCCTCGCCAACTTGCTTTGAAGACTTACGCTTCGATCGCGCCATTACCAAGACAACATGAATGGTGTTTCACTCTGTCGTGACATACATATCTATTAAATGGAAGAATCAGCTGTTTTCTGGACGAAATCTACGTGAAAATCAGCAAAATATTCGCGCCACGATTCGCGCTCCCAGGACCATCTCGATTCCCGCGTTTCAATCGTGTGAAACGCATGCGCTAAATTTCCGCTGAAACAATGCAGGCGCACGGTCAAAATGGCGTTTGTTTTTTTCCTATCAATGCGAACAATGATTTTTCGTTGGTGATTCTGGAAAGAAAAAGTAAGTTTGGCTTTTAATTTTTCTCTTGTCACATGCTAACTCTTTATTTTCAAAGATTTTGTAAGCGATTCGCCGATCGGTAAGGTTTTAGAAACAGTTTCCATGTTGTTCTCAAGCTTGTAATTTTGGCGAGCAAGACCAGACAAAGACTGGTCATAATCGAATTAATGATGCTTTCGATCAAATCGCTTCTTCATTAGATCTTTCAGAAACTGAGAAAAGCGAAATCTGATTTACTTCCTTGACCCGTGTTAAGAAATAGAGAAAGTAAGCAACAAGGTATCGTTTTCATAGTATCGTGAGTGTCCATCATTAGCTGATCGATTTGCCCCCAGTTGTTCGAATTTGTTTGAGTAATCGACTAGTAAATAATTTTCTATCCATTGGGTAGCACAACACCTTTTATTAACGTTTATCCGATGGATAGCGATTTATTCGTTAAATAGCGTTATCCGCTAGATAGCGTTATGCGCTCCTTTAACAACTGGGCTCAGATCTGTAGTAAGTTTCTGCATATGAAGAACTTTCTTTTTTAAGGGCTGAAAAAGTAAACAAGTCTCATTGATCTCAGAGAATTAGACTGGAATCGTGCTTCATATCTACGTGTGTCATTTGCAGAAAAAATGCCGCCTTGCTTGTTACTGTGTCCTGCAAAACGATCTGTAGTTCATTTGGAAAGCCAATTTTGTCTTTGTGGCTGCTGATGCCACTCATTGGCAAAGCTCAGTTTTGTAACGTCAGTAATTAATTTTACCAATAGTCTAAGGCCATCCTTGAATTTCAGTACTAAAAACCTTTTTGTGTGCTTGACTGAATTGCTCAAACATGATGCAAAATCGAAACATTATCCCCTATTCCTAGTATCTTCTTTATATGTTTCCTTGATAGTGTATTGATCTTGTTGCAATAATTTAATGCATGATCACTCCTGGAAGGGAAATGATTACTAGAGTTTGACTTAAATCTATTTTAGGCGGTTGATGAAGATAATTTTTTCACAATGACTTCAAAAACTGATCCTAATAACGCTGAATCAGATGCCCAGAAGGCAGAAGAAAAGGCTAGTAAAGAAGAGTTAGTGGAAGCCAAGATGAGAATAATCCGAAAGAAAAATGAAGATCTCATGAGAAGACAAAAGGAGATTGAAGAAGACCGTAAAAATGCCGATGTGTACAGCAAGTTAGTAGAAATAAAGAAGCAACATGGGAGTGGTACATCAGGAGTGAACAAGGATTCATCACAGCCAGGGGGGGTGGCTGGAAGAGGGAGGGGTAGGGGCAGGGGGCTAATGTTGCAGGAAATGCGGAAAGAAACACTGAAAGCCAAGCAGTGGGAGGCCAAACGGAAAGAAAATGTTGTAAAGGAAGAGCAGGAGAGGAAACAAGGAAGTAGGAATCCCAACTCTGCAAGTAGGTTTCTGATGGATGACAAGCGAGTAGACATGTCCAAAATGACAGGGCGGAACGAGCACTCTTGGGGTGGAGCTAATTTCAACAAAGTTGCCGGTCGAATGCAAAGGGAGAAGGAAGGGTTTCGACCAGGCAGAAATAGAGATAATATGGAAATGACTATGTCAGGGAAAGAGCGGCAACAGTATCGTGAGTGGAAGGATGAGAGAAAGAAGATTGATGAAGAAAGGAAAGCTCGTCAGAAGAAGGCTGGAAACTGGAGCCGTACATGGGATCAGAAAAAGGTCTGGGATGCAAGACGGAAGATGTGGGTATTTGAAGAATCTGGGGACAATGGGAGGAATATGAGACATCATGATGGTCATGGTCGTGCAGAAGACTGGGGCATTGATAGTAGGGGGAACAATTACCACAGAGGAAACAGAGGTCATCATAAAGGAGGAGGATTTAGACAGTATGACAACCATGAAACCCGAGCTTCTGAAATGCAACAAGGTAGCAGTCAAAGTGAAGTTTTGGAAAAAAAGAGTACCACATCAAAAACTGAAACAGAAACTAGAGCAAGACACAACCAGGATGGCACAGCTAATGGTGAGGGCACTGGGGAAGAGAATTGGGATGAAGAACCAACTGTACCTCTGCATCAAAAGAAAGAAGAAGAGAGTTTAGATGCTGTTATGGAAACATCAACTGACAATTCGCAAAGAATTGATAAACCCAAACCTCAAAGAGAACGGAAGGAACGAAGATGTAGTGATAAGCATGGTATTAGTGAAGATAGTCAGAAAAATCAGCAATCTGCAGCAGAAGTGACAAGTGACAAACCACATAGTGGAACTTCTCAGCAAGAACTTCAGGAAAGCTTACAAGATGATTTTGCTGTTAATGAAGATTCTCAAGTGCTGCCTGAATCCACAACTACCAAAGATTCATCCCTGTCAGTCATATCAGCTCTGCATGAATCTCCAGGAGATAAGAAAGAGGCAGCAGTTGAATGCAAGGATCAAATCAAAAACTTGCATGAGGAAAGTGAAGAGGCACAAGTCAATCTAGAAGATGTAGAAACTGGTGAAAGAGCTAATGACATAATTACAACAGACAGTGATAAAGATAAACAAGAATGCTCACCACAAAATCCAGCACATGAAAAACAAGATGTTTCTATTGATCATTCAGCACAGCAAGAACACAGAGATGACAGTGCAAACTCTGTTCATAACGATACAATGCTGGCAGAAACGGCAAATTTGCCTAAACTTAAGACAGACAAAAAAGTTTCTGACACCAAAGAAAACAATCAGGAAATGAAATCAGATACAGAAGTTGCCAGTGTGATACAAGCATCTGCATCAGATGCTGACACTCCACCTACACCTGATTTTTTGAAACTGGAGCAGGACCTTGACTGGGGTGAAATTGAGATTGATGAGGAAAAAATTGTTGAGAGATGGTAGCTTTTAAAATCGAACAGTTTAAGTCACAGATAGTGTTTTGCTCTGGACAACCCAGTTATAGGCATACCCTTTGCTCAAATTTCCTAGAATTTCCTTCACATTGTTTAAGGGCACAATCAAATCTCCATTTTTGTAGTGTATCTGGTTTATTTTAACCATGGGTAAACAAGTATTTGTAATCAAAAAAAGTCTTACAATCTGTTATTACACCAAGTGTAATCCTAACAAGACAGTTTGTAAGAAAATCATGGCAATTAATATTTTGCCAAGCCAGTTTTACGTTGCCCTCTCCTGGGTAAGTTTTTTTTTATTTTTGTTAGGCTACAGTTCCCCTGTCCTCCGCTCTTCAGGCTCTGAAAATATTCCAGCTTCGATGCCTGTATAACCTTCCAACAAAAATGAGTTTGGATATGAAATAAGAACAGTTTTTAGCCCTGGGGAATAAAGTGGTCACAGCCTTTCTATACATCATGGTGTGTCCATGTATTGAGATGTATATTTCCTATTAGACAATTTGGTTTGCAGTATAGCTGAGTATTTTTACGAGTTCTGCCATATTTTGACAAGTCCTTGTAGTGAGTAAAAATGTAATGCACCAAACATCTAATAAGTTATTTATTATCCAATTGCCTTATTTTTGTGCATTTCGTCAAAGGTGGTAAAAAACAAAGCAGATAGAGAAACTTTGCTCATGCAGTTGACCATCAAATAGGTTTTTTTACAGTTACAAAATAACCAACTGTTCAAATATTGTGTGATATTTTTACTAGATGGGTGCATTATTTCTACTCTACTCAGTGCAGTTGGATAATAGTGCTGGTTAAATAATAATGAGATTTTTATTTCACTTTTAATCACAGTATGTCTTTTCAACACGCATAAAATATTTGTTACCATTTTAATTAAGAGATGAAAAGTAGTTTGCTAGTCTGCAACAGATCACAATAGAATTGTCAAAATTGTAAAGTACCTTTTCAGCTTAATTTTACACCAATATGATATAAAATAAATTATAGAAATGTCTGGTGAAAAACTTTTGCTCCTCACTGAATTGGGTAGCTTTTAAATACAATATGGCTCAACTTTTGCTCTGTGGACGGTTTAATGCCCAGTCATGAAATAGTGTCTACTTGTTAACCTTTTCCACCCTAACATCAATATGCATATTCTCCATACTGTTCTCTAAACATTTCCCAAGGTGCTGACAAGGAGAATTTGTTTAACAATCAAGACCTTTTTTTATAGGTGATCAGTTCCTTTATACTCCTGATCTTATTGTTTGACTCAGGGGTGGTGAGGTAAGGAGAAATTAGATGCCAGTCACTTTTACACCCAAACATCAACAAGCATATTCTCCTTACTGCTCCCAGCTCATTTCCTATGGTTTTGATGGGGAGAATTTCTTTAACAATGACAGAAGCTTCTTTAAGAAGCATTAATGTCCCTAATGTTTGCAATTTTTTTGATTCAGCTGTGATAATCTAACAAGAAAATAGATGCTGGTCACTCTTTAGAGTAAAGGATTACACTACTTTAAGAGAAAAGAATGCTATTAGTGGTACAGTTAAAATGCCCTGGAATTTCTGCATGGCAGGCTAAATTGAGACTGAAAATTGAGGCTCCTGAGCTTAGTGTGTACCCTTGACACCCTAACATCAGTATAGATAATCTCTATACTATTCTATAAAGATTTCATAAGGTGCTGACAAGGAGAATTTGTATGAAAATCAAGAGCTTCTTTATCTGGTGATCATTTCCCATATTCTCATGACCTTAATGTCTGATTCAGGCGTGATATTGTCGGGAGAAATTTAATGCTGGTCACTCTTGGAGGTCAAAGACCTGATTAAAGAAAATTATTGGTTTGGAATTGCTGCATTTTACTGGGTGTACTAAGAGTTCAATGTGCATATATGATCTTTAATGTTGATCCATAATGTAAAATATCGTTAAATAGACTTGGAGCAATTATGGTCAGTAGCGTTTTGTTCATGCCTTGGCCAACTGTTAGCTATCATGCAGCATTTGTTGCATTTTGTAGCGTTTTGCAGCAGTGCTGTGGTCATTGGAGCCCTAAGGCTGTCCTTGCCAGCGGTATACCTTACCAGTGCATGTGTTGTTCTATTTGTTATTTATGTTTTCCTCCATTCAACCACCTGGCTCTAGTGTGATAGGTGCTCATAGGGGGTATGGCATGGGAAACTCGTAGCTGGATTATGGGTTGGGCAGGTGGACAGGCCAGTCAGGTGTTCAAGTACCTTGGGGTGCAACTGCAGTTGTGGTCCCTGGGCCCCTTGGGCACCTAGCCTCCATATGCAACATGGGTGTCAAATGGCACATTGTTATCCAGTTCTTAACACAACCATTTTTAAAACTAACCAAAAATAAACTCCTGATGTAGTTCACTGAGGATGTTAGAAAACATTTTGATCATGAGGTGATAACCCAAAATGCAACATTGTTTTGACCACCAAGCCATAGGTTTCAGAGAATGTATCATTACTTTTCACCTTTTCTTATCATTTCACATTTGATTTGAAACTCAATTCTAACCTTTAAGGAAATTTATGTACCCCTTAAACCCAGAAGTGATTAACATGTGACTTCTCCCTATTAAATTATCCAGCAAACAAGTTATGAGAATATTCAAACTGATCAGGTATAAGTTTTCATCTTAATCTGACACCAAAATCTCTAGCAGCTAAAGGAGAAAGTTAACAATCAGATCTTAAGGGTTAAGGGGCCATTCTAAAACATGGAATCATTTTCAACAATGTTGAACACAAACAGATAAAGACTACGTAAAATATGGGACTTGATGTGTCCCAAAAGTTGCTCTCAATGTGGGGCTACAGATAGAAAGTGAAAATCAAACATACAATAAAGTTGCAAAGAAATTTTTGTTGCAAATTCTTTATTACTGACTTGAATCTGCACATAATCAGGCTGTTACAACACATCAAAAAGACTTGTGACTGGTGAAACTTCTACTAATAGTACTGTTTCTTGAAAATAAACAACATTCTACGCAACTGTTACATTCCGTTGAAACATCATTTGTTTACAACTGAATTTGATTATTACAAAGCTCCTGCATTCTCTAACTTTGGCTTCAGTTGTCCTTTGTTTTGAAGCCCCTGGACATCATCTCCTCCACCAACAAAAGTACCTCCAATGAACACTCGTGGAACCTGAAAAATAGAGAAAAAGTTGTGAAGTAGGGCCAGAGAAAATCTTGCTTCACTCAAAGCTTTTTTTTTTCAAAATAAACAAAAATAAGAAAGCCTCCTGATCTTCACACGTCTTACTAAAATGAGATCTTCGCCCTTCATAGAATACAAGACTCGTGACTGCTCGATCATTACGAACCGCTAAGAATTGTAAAACGTCAGTACTAAAAATACCATTCCTGAAGAGAACACACAAACATCTTACAGAGTTTGAAAGACCGAAAAAGAAATACCCAACCCTTTTCAAGACGTTTTGGTGATCAATTTACCTTACTGACGGAATAAGTATATTTCAGAGGCGTTCGCGCGTTTAATTATGCATAATTCATTCGACGATCGACTAGACGATTAGTTTGCAATTTCGGTCGAGGCATCAAACAGTCTTTAATTCCGAAGAGAGGTGATTCCTATCAGATTTTCACTGTGTATTTCTTAAGCTCGTAAAAACGCAATGAAACGAATGTTTTGAAGCTTACCGATCTGCCTCCAGTAATTTTTTGAAGGGCGTCTTGAAATTCATCCCCGTCATCGCGTTCGTCCAACTCAACCAGGAGGTAGTCTTTCAATCCAGCAGCCTTCAGCGCGTCTTTCGCCTTTTTACAAAAAGGGCAGTAGGTCTTGGAGTAAACAACGACCTTGTTATCCTTCACTTGCGCCTTAATGAACTCTACTTTATTCGACATGATGTACTTCAATAAAACAACGAGTTGCTTTTCTTCTTGACACCAGATAAGTTGATGGGATGGAACCAAGGCGACTTGAATAGAAGTAGCCCAGAGCCCGCGTTACCTTTGTTCAGATGGCCGCAAATAAGAAAACTGATGTGTCATGTTTGCTTGTCATTTGTGATTATGCATGCAAGTCACGCAACCTCTTTGTGTTTTGAGTGGGTTTTCATCTCAAAATTGCGGACGTCATGATTAGAAGGGAAAATCTACATGTGGTAAACACGGCTATTATCCTGTGAGTTTCAATGAACAAAACAACAGAAGCATCAATCTTTAGAAGTCGATCAAATAAAAATATGTTTTCCAGAAGCATGATAGAGAAAAGTATCTTGGTCCCAATCACTTAGTGGTTAAACTTAAAAAGTGAAGATCTTTAAATTGAGCTCACATCAAAAGGTACGACCCATTTTACCATGACAAAAAGAAGCACGAGTTTTTTTTTTGTTTTTTTTTTAAGACAGTTCTAGAAAAAGGGTACCTGATGAAATATTTGAACACGGAAAAAAACTTAAAACTTGCGGTCACCTTACGCATATCTCGTGAAACCAAACTCGTTACCAGGGCTTTTCCCTTGCAAGTGGGGAAAAGCCCTCATAACGAGATTGCCGTGAAACTTGGGCTAAATTCGAAAGGTCCATGGCGATGAAATTTCGTATTTTTGTAAAAGAAAGGCAACATGAGAAGTGAAGTGATAATTCTTGGACTGATTTAAGGGAGCAAAGTTTATTCGTATGAAGGAAAGAGTGAGATCAATCCTATTTTTCACGACAAGTATTAACTACAAAACCAAGAGGAGTCTAGCTCAAGGGGTGGTCTTGCGGACCGTTACAAATGAGCCGATTTTGAAATTAGGAGCATGATTATGAAGAATTCCACACCACAAAGTTCTCTAAAGTTCTCTCACCTTTGAATTTTTTCAGAGTGTTTTTTCACTTGAAAGAGAAATTGAAACATTGAGAGTAATTGGCACGTCAACAAATTTCTAGCCTCGTTAAAAAAAGTGGGCAAACTTATTTCAGACATAAAATCAATAAAACTTGATGGTTTGTATTGCCATGGGGGGGAGGTGGAGATTTTTGGGGAATAACATGGTTTTCATTGGGAAACGCGAACACGTACGGAGGGGGTCAGTTGTCGCCAAAGTATTAAGGGGGGATATATTAATATTGACGGCCAATTAACTGCCAATAAAGGGAACGGGGTCAGAACCTAACGGGGAGATCAAATAAATTTTATCGCGACACAAACGAATTCCCCTACCCCTCTCCCTGGCGAAAGATAATGACCCCTCCCGAATATAAGTTGTAGTTTTTTGTAGTAGTAGTAGTAATTTGCAGAAATAACATGTTTCCCACTATGCCAGTTAGTAAGTAATTCATTCGTGTATGTTAGGAATTATTGTTAGAGGTTTAAGTTAGACCAGGTTTGCAATCAATCATTCAGGTACGTAATATTAGCAAACAAAGTTTTGTTAGCAATGTTATAATCGGTAATCTGCATGTGAATAAACGTGAAGTATGTGTATTTTCTGTCCGAAAGAATGGTGAGGGGGGTGCTTCTTGGTAATAGGCTAATGGGGATGTGGCTGGATGGGGTCGTATTTTCACGACTGGATTGACTATGATGTGGTTGCATTTTCGATAGTTACAAGAACGGGCTCGCATATTTGCGAGAATTTTGGGCGTAAGAAAATTCTGGTAGGTGGGGATTTTATAAATGGGAAGATTTGTGGTTAAAGAAGTTGTTATCTTATTATTAAGATGTGATCTATGATCTATGATTGGCCAAAGAATAGACTGTAAAGGGGCAGGGTTCTGAGAGGCCAGTGGCCCATACCCAACGAAAATTTACCCAAGTATCCCCCCCTCCCCTTCTCGGGTTGTCATTCAGATCAGAAACTGAGACATGAGATCAAGCTTTTGCGGAAGGACTGGAAGATCTCAGTACAATAAGTTGACCTCTCAGAAGGATCTGAGCAGTCGTACATCGCTCTTTTGACAGGCTCTTTCGCAGTCACGGATAGTTTGCCAGAACGCCACAAGGAAGAGGAAGCTATGAGCAACTATAATCTTTTAGAGAAATACGAAACGTTTTTAGGAACACGTTCGTCGTTTCGGTTATTTTGCTGTTGGCGTGTGGGGTCATCCTGGCGGCAAACTTTGTTGACCCAGGAAAAGCGACGTTTGGGGCTGGGAACAAGGAGGAAAGCCTCCTTTACTAAGTCCAATTGACTAAACAATGGAATTTGGAGAGCCAACTCAATTCAAGGATAGTACTGTAGCTTACAAGATGAACGTTACATCTTTTAACACTTTTCATCGACGTAAAATCTCTGAGAAGCTTTCTTAAGGCTGAGGAATTATCTAACGTTAACTACACTAGCTTCGTGAAACTCGTCGCCCTAACTAATGACCCATAATTCAGGACAACCTCGTTCCCAGGGTCTCTCATCTTCCCGCTCTCTCCTCGCTCGCTCCAGGGGGCGGGAAGATGAGAGACCCTTGGAACGAGGTTGAATTCAGGATAAAAATTCCGAGAGAGAGACCTTAAACTAAACTTCCGCTGATTAAAACGCATAGAGCACCATCTCCAAATATTCACCAGTGAACACTTCCACTTTTGTGAATAGTTGTTAATTATACTCGGGAGTATGTTAAGCTGAAACAAAAATATCTATCACTAGTATAGCTAATAATTGAAAGCTGCTGACATTTTTGCATGACTTCAACATTAAATAAAGGTTTTGTGCGGTAAATGATGGTAAGTGATGGTAAATGATGATGCAGACGACATTCTTTGGGCTTGGCTTGGCAGAACCTTTTTCGGAGCATTTGTGACGATCATGCTCCCTAGAAAGAAGTAAAAAGTAAGAAGTACTGCGGTATCACGGATATCGAGCGACCTTAGACTTAAAATGTATCCGAAATACAAGTTATTCAAGACAGTGATCTCAACCAAACGTTCAAAGCCAAGGGGGGAGTGTAAAATGGTCGGAAATTAAGTTACCCTGGCCCTAAGACGAGCAAAAGCATCCCACTTTGCGAAAATGTTTTAAGAAGTTAAGAAAACGAGCGCTTATTTGAACCTGTTGAATGAAGACACATGTCCCAAAGTGCACACGAAAAATATTGGCCCTCTGAAGAGATACGATGGCGCTCCTTGTGCTTGCTGACGAGGAGAAAGCGTAGCTGATGAATTCATATTTTTTAACGATAGGGGAAAAGCTGGCCAAAGAACTCCCACACAATGTATGAGCCGCCAACACTCACAGAGATTACCGTTTCTACGCAATCGGTACGAGACAAAGTTAATACGCTTAAAATTAATAAGTGTACGGGCCCTTATGATACTCCTCATAAGCTTCTAGGACTTGCGGGAAACGCTACTGTCTCCTATCTGGTCTGGCTTTATCGCAGTAGCATTGAGTATAAAACAATTTTCTCCGGTTGGAAAACAGCTAAGCTTACGCCTATTCATAAAAAAGACGATGAATGTGGAAACCACTGTTCGGTTTCTTTGCTTCAAGTCCCAGTATTTTGTGAGATTATCCACCACTACCAAGTAGACGTCTTTCTTCACATTGAAAAGATCAGTACTGACTATTTGACATCTTCTCTTTGGAATAGGCTGGCTCTGCATGGTTTCTCTAGGTTGATCTAGCTTAGCTTCCTGACATATTGAACAGTTATCGCAGAGATATTTTATATCATAATGAATCGATGGCCAACACAGTGTATCTCTCACGAGTCTCATGCATCCCTCTGCTCCTAGGTGACTAACATCTGTGGGCGCATAGCCGTGGGAATGAACACTCTCGTTCCTGTGTAGATTATTCCATCCTGAACTGCTAGTTCATCTCTATACGGTCAGCAGTCTCGGACATTGGGCGGTACTTGCGTCTTGTCCCCAGGTCATCCATTAGCTATAATTTCAGCTAAGGTCATGAAATTTCCATCTTTTGGGGTTGCTGTTGCTACTTTCTGAAGGGTTGCATCTGTCATGTTATGAAAGATATTTGGATCTGTACCTTCGATCTCTTTCATGAGAAGTTCTTCTGCGTGAATTGCAAAGACTTCATAATCATCTATTTCCTTCTTTTGCGTTCGGCCGTTTGGGAGGGCAGATCTTGACAGATGATCACTTATGTACATCTGAGTTCCCTTTTTGTACACAATATTCAGGCGGTACTTTTGCAGTCGTAGCATCATGCGTTGTAACCTCTTGGGCGCGCTGTTGATACTTTTGGCAAGTATGGTTTCTAGAGGTTTATGATCTGTGACTGCTGTAATCTTTTCCACCAGTGCGAGGTATTCCTTCTCGATCTGAGAGTAACGTCTCTCAGTCTCAGTCATAGTGCGACTAGCAAATACCACTGGTCTGCCGACTTGAAGTAGAACAGCTCCTAGTTCATAGTCACTTGCATCTGTCTCAATCGTTACTTCTTCCTCCAAGTCGTAGTAACGGAGTAGTGGCGGTTCTGAAAACAGCTGAGTCAACTTGTTAAAGGCATCTTGGTGAACTTGCGACCAAATGAATTGGTTTTGTTCCTTAGTTAGGTTTCTGAGAGGTTCAGGTACGTCAGACAGCTGAGGTAAAAATTTGCCCAGTCTTACTGTGTGGTCTCGGCATCTGAGTGATGGCTTCAACTCTGGCTGGGTCTGGTAAAATACCCTCAGAAGTCAAGATATGCCACAGCACTTCAACTTATGTTGTTTGAAGACGAACTTGTTCAATCTGAAGTATCGCTCCCTGCATTTCTGTAGCAACGCAATCAGATTTCTGTTATGGTCTGCCAAGGCTTCTTCATGGGTGTTTGTTGCTCCAGTTATTAACAGGTCATCAGCCAGAGCAGTTAATCCTTCCAGGCCCTGTCTTCGCTTGGATCGATGAAATTTATCTTCAATTTTGTAATCCTAACACCATGAAGTGTGGACGTCTTGTATTCTGCAGCATACACCTTTATTGATATCTGACGGGCTATACCAACAACTAAAACTACTCGCTACATCTAGTTACAAGCTCGGCTTTTATAGGTATGGTTGAGGATCTAGAACGTTCGGGGATGACTCAGCAGGACACAGCTACTTCTAGAACATTCTTCAAGGTCACACTGCAAAACCTAAAAATATCGCACTGTCATTCACCGCTAAAAAAGAAAAGATTAAGCTATGGCGGATGAACAAGAACAATGCAAAGGATCATGCAATACGCTGAACCTTCAGAACGGAAGGAGTGGTCGTACAGCTTCAAGCTCGATCATGGATAGTTTTCCAGAGAAAAAGGAACAACACAATGACAAGGGAACTCCAGTCAACGGTTATGTCGAAGATGACTCTGAGGGAGGAAAACCTGCTTCAAGAAAACGAACCATAATGTGGATCACTGCCATCTTTGCGGTTATAGCACTTGTGGTTGGTGGAGCCATACTCACAGCAACTTTGTTGAATCGGAAAGAGCAAGTTACTGAGCGTTTAGTGGAAGTCAACTTGGAACCAGGTGACACTCTGTTGTATCAAGTTGAGCAAGTCCTTGAAGTACGAAGTGGAGAGCTTCAGAGAGGTATTTGATGTCGTAACTAATTAAGCATTTGATGCTGTCTTGAACTGCCTTTCGTCGCTGGCTAAAACTTACGAATTTTTTATTTTGAAATAGCCTTTTTGGTCGCATAGGCAATTTTTTCGAAAAAATCATTTTACGTTAAAGATGACATTAGGTAACAATGCATTTTGTTAGATTTCAGACACATTCTGCAATTTACAAGATAATTAAGAACAGTGAATATGCTTTCCTAAAACATTGAAAGCAGGCAATCAAAATGGAAATCAAATCTCAGGTTAAGAATTCTAATTCGGGCTGTACAGATATATAGAATACGGGGTTTATATAGTCTTGTGATCATCCTAAGTCTTCTGTTACTGTCCCTTTTCGGTGACCTCGAGGCGTTGGATTTGATTTTGCGCGGAAAATCATGTTTATTTGAAATAGCATTATATATTTGAAGACATTTGCATATGCATACTTCAGTGTGGTTTTTTGGAAATTTTTTTTTCGAATTTTTCATCTCAATAAATTGTTTTTATCAAATTCATCGTTAGAACGCTAAACCCAGCATACCCACATAATTAGCTCAATTCCGAATTTACTTCGGCATTGGACATATCAATCTACTTTCGAATGTTCGGGGTAGACATAATAGACTTTTGTGCAGGCTAGGCGCATTCAATTTGCATAGTAATCCAGTTTGGCTATATCGTGAATATATTTTATGGTCGATCTGGGTAAGTTTTGTTGATACTGCCATACGGAATTGTTTCTTCAGAAATTTAATAAGATCAGCACCAGCAGTTTAGTCATCAGTTCCAGAGTTACTTAGAAAGTACTCGTCCATTTCTTCTCAATTGAGATTTCGGAAGGTGGCTTTTCTCTTTCTAGTCTTTAATATGTCAGTTTGAGAGGCATTTTGGATAATTGAAAGGCACTTAAATATCCACCAATGGCCACCTCCATTTCGGTGAATAGTGGTTAATTATTCCACGGTAGGTTGATGCACAGTTTTTTTTTAGCTTGATATCTATTGTCTAGTTCTGATGGTGACATGAAGACAATTGGTTCTTCTTTAACTTAATAATTTGCATCTAAAATTGCCCTTTCATGCCGGTTCTTATTATAAATCGTTTTATCCTTGACTCCTACTAAAGAGTCGTGTCATAAATGTTGTTTAAGAAAGGCGTCTATAGTTTGCATTGAGTCTTGGAAGTTCACCTCTCATCACCTGGTATCTCGACGCGTTCTTTTAGAAATGGGCTACAAATTTGGTATAGCCTTTTTGGCGTCTTTTAAATTAAGACTCCCACCAAAAACATCGGAACCTCTGATTTTCTAGTTCGGAATCCGAGAAAAGTTTCTTTTTATTTTAATCCATTTGATTGTTTGAGAGGTAGCTAAACAACAAAGTACTTTTAATTTTCCCACAAGTTAAATCAAGGTTAATGAACCGTCAACTTACCAAAGACACTGATACGGTGTTTTACTTTCAAAATATCAATCGGAAGGTTTTTTGATCGGCCTTTATACTTCCGGTTTTTTACTATGCAAGATTAGTATCCTTCGAAGAATGAATTTGCTGTTTAGATATTGAAGTTACATATTCATCAAGCTTGATGTCTTGCTTCCTTACCATTGTCAGGAAAACGGGCCATCAGAGTCGAATTAAACTCAACAAGGATTGTTTATCAGCTAAAGTGCCTTAATGTAATAGCAAATTTGATCTTTTTTTTTTCAGGAACACTAAGTATCATCGTTGCACTTCAAGTAATAAACAAGACTTCAGAAGAGTATTGGTTCATTTTCAAGATCATCAGCATTGATACTGAAGGAGAAAACTTGGAAAAAATCACTAACATGACCCAGGGAAAATCTTTGTATTTTTTGGTTAAGGTTGAGCGCACCTCTAGGTAGGTAGCAAGAAAGCCCTTGGCAGAATTTGTCTACTAAGTTATGTCGGTATTATCGGAGAGCAATAAATTAGGTATGATAGGTCCGCCTGATGGAGGGAGGCTTTTTTTTTCATAAATATCATAATGGAACCAGAAAACCACTCAACTTACCGCTAAGTTAGCTTGGGCCATTAAGTCAAATAGTTTCATAATCTGAAGAGCCAGACGAACAATTACTGACACTTGATACACTTAGTATTCAAAAGTAATAACGTATAATTCTGATTCACTTTGATTCAGTCACGAAATTTCAGTTTGAAATAGTATCATTGACAATTTAACTCTCTTATCGGTTAATTGAGGTTGGGGTAGCGGTAGGGGTGGGGAGTGGTGGCTGATCACAGAATTGTCTGAAAACTGGTAAAAATTACTTTTAAAGCCAAAAATGACCAAAAGAAATTCAAACTTCCCTCTCTAAAAAAATTTTTTTCTTTCCTTAAGATACGAGGCAAGAAAAACATGATTTGTCGTTAGAAGTTATTTCTATAAAACACTCACAACATTTTTTTTTAGTCAGGAATACATCTTCACTGTCTGACCGACGGCGGGTCGTATTGCAATATTGAATGCTTTGTCTTAAATAGGCATTCTTTTTCTGATTCCCATTTTTAAGCCTTTTATACATCGCAAACCACACTGATCCCTTTAGATACGGATATCAGTTCTTAATTTTCACGTAGAGATCTCAGGTAAGTTTCTGCTCAATTAGAGAATAGTTGACAAGATTTTTGCAAGAACTTCTTCCAATGCTACAATCTGTGTTTTCTAATTTCTATCAGCAGTTGACTTTGAATTCCTCTGGAGTTGGCAGGAAAAGTAGCCATACTCTTTTGAAACATAAAGTTCCCGAATTCCCCATCCCTTCCTTTTACTTTTTTAGTATTTTTATGTTCCACAATTTTAACTCGTCTGAAAATTGTCCAGGAACCTGAAATGGACCTTCTTGAACACGGTATCATGCTAATTGCCAATTGGGATGTTTTCACTGGATCTGACTGTTCTCAACAGGTCTGAGGTAAAGAAAACGTCAAAATCCACCAAAGAAGATGAGTCCTTTGAATTATACGGAAACCAAGAGTCAGAGGCAGACTTAACTCGTTATGCTCGAGCCATACTTACCCAGCTTCTGCCAACTGTTGAGCGCAACCTTTACGAACGTGTAGACGGACAGAAACCAGACCCAAATTCCGAGCCAAAGCCTGAAAAATCTTCCATGTTTCCCGGAATTGTGAAGATGCACAGAGAAGCAAACACATCGCAAAATGACAAACTTTTTATTAAAAACAAATTCAATCGGTCGGATGTCACCAATATGACATCTGACATCGACTTGGACATGTCATATGCTGATTCGTCAGTTCTTAATAAGAGCAACGGCGTGGTAACAAAAGGTGAGGTCCACTTAACTGAACAACTAAATTTCGGAGAGCCAGTTCAGTTTAAGAAAGGATCCACAGCCAACATGATGAACGTTTTTTTCACGAGTAAGGTTACTCTTCTTGATGATGAGAAGTATCGGAAAAGTTATCTTGAAGACGAGGAACTAGCAGATGTTGATGTTCGTGATTTCGTCAAACTAGTTGCACCAAAATCTGACCAAAATTTCAGGGTGAAAACCTCTGAGAGAGAGGCTCTGAATAAGCCTTCGGCTGATTCAAACGAAATGAATAGCACGTCCGCTGACGATGAGCGAGAGACAAACTTGACAACAGCAGCGCACGACCCAAGACACCGGCGAAGTCGCAGACAAAACTTTGTTCAAAAATTCCTTAATGCTCCTCGACAGAGAACGTTCACACTCTTTGAGAAAAAAGTTATAGGCATAGATGTGAAAGTGAAAACCACTGTTCGAATTGAATCAATTAAAAAGCTAGTCAACCTGAAGCTTGAAAAGACCGAGGTGTATTTAACTCTGCAGTTTGGAGCCAGTGTAACAGTGCCACTTCTCCGAAAATCCATTGACACCACCAAGAAAGAAACAAAGAGGATAAATGGACTGAACATCGGAGTTGTAAGTGCTTAAATTTAAAATGTCGATGTTAGATCGGGCCTCTATTTCGGCAGGTTTTTTCGGGGAGCAAACTCACGGTTTGCGAAAAACAAGGTCGATAAAACCACTAGCATGGAAGAAAGTAAATTGCACCATTGGCTCGTGTGCCTTCATTTACGTGTATTAGATTTTGAGTTTTACTTATTTCAATAAAATGCTGTAATGACTGCTTTTAAACAGTTCTACGATAACAGGATGATATTGAAACCTTTAGCCTCACATAATTTAGCGGTAAAAAATTGCCTGTTAGGGAGGTAGACGACGACCGCGACCGAATTACAAACTTAGGCTTTCTGCGCAGGAGGCCCAAGTAATGACCGCACTGTTTGAAAAAGTTTACGTACATGTAATGCAATTTACTGGTTTTTTTTTCACTTTTCTACAGAGCTACAGTATTCCGATATTTTGGGTCGTCAGTCTTGATGTGGATTTTATTCTTAAGACACCTTTTAGTATCTCAGTGGACCCAGGCTCACTCTCACCATCC